GTATGTATATGTATAGAGAGAACAATTAATTAAAAGAAAATTATATGTTTGAATTTTTTTAGAGGCGCACACATTTGCAGCTTTAYTATTTTATTGTTGGCCATTTGACACCCACTTTATCTTATGGGGTTGCATGAGTGTACTCGGTTAAAAACAGCCTTTTCCAATAATTTTTTCTCATATAAAAATGAAATAATTGATTAAAACTTTTATTGACAAAGAAATTTTTTATTTTTTTTCTGAAATTTTTGGAAAAAAATTATTTGCAACTCGGCCATTGCGACGTCATTTCTTCGATCCCTCGGAAAAAAGATGTGCCCGCGTTGRCGGSATAACCTCTTACAGGATCATCTAAAGTGAAAAAATATTTGTTTTAGTTAAAACCTTAAGTTAGAACTTGGACGCAGGAAAACAAACTGAAAATTGGATTTAATTTTTACAAAAAAAAAAAAAAAAAAACTTTAAAATTTCAATCGAAATTTCGCACATTTTTATACAAATAGTTGTAATCGAAAGAAAACCTTTGTCCATATTTTTAAGACTTGTACCTCAAATACCTGTAAAAAATTTCATGTAGATCGGTTGAGCAGTTTTCGGGAAATCTTGGCTTCAAAAACACACAGTTTCGAGAAAAACTCATTTAAAGACAGGCGCTTAGCCTAGCTTCGAGCACACAAGTTCTCAAGGCTGTATCTCGGGAACTATTACTCGGATCGACTTGAAAATCTAGGCCAATATTCTAGAGGTGTTATAGAATTCAATAAAAAAATAAAATTAGAGTTTTTGAAACCTATAAACCCATATAGCCCCTTAACTCAGGAGATATTTCGAAGAAACTCAACTCTGTTTAAAGCTACAGTGAAAATTTKTAGAACAAATTTATAAGGACGGTAAAGATATTATATTGCATAACATACAAAGATTTATTACAGTTGTTTTTTATTTTATTTTATTTTTTGTTTTAGTTGTACGTTGTAATACTTATATTCTTTAAGAAAAGGAGTTGCCACATGTTAGAAAATGAGCAATCAAATTATGTGAACTCTGATGTGGTTTTAGGTTTTCTAACTATTTAAAATACAGTATTCAATATTAAAATATGTATAGTGTTGCCACCTGTTTAAAATTTTAAATTAATCAATTGGGTTAGATCAACAAATTGGAGTTGAATGGCTCCAAATCGCAYATATTTGAAAGACTTTGCAACGAAAATAGAAAAAAGAGTTGCCATATGTTTGAAATTTGCTMGTAAATTAAATGAACTCAGTAGACAAATATTAGCATTCTACAAATCTATCTAAACATAATTTACTTCTAATGAATGAACATGGTTGCCAACTGTTCGAAATTACAAAACATTATTAGAAAGAAATACTCAAAATGGGTAAAAAATATAAATTGTTGGCGGAGAGCATAAAGCTCAAAATATTTGTAAAGTGGCAAGATTGTAAAAGTTTCCATTGAAATATATTTACACATATAATTCATTTACAAGTATTACAATTAAAGTATATTATTACAAATGTCATTTTTATTTCTGATTTTTTCTTTTGTAAAATAATTTTTTAAATAAAACTGCTCAAGAGCGATAATTGTTTAACTATCAGTTTTTTACATTTACTTGCATTGAAGCAACCGAAGGCTATTTTTCGGAAGTTGCCGTTTTGAATGGCAAAAACAAAGAGATATTTGCTATCGGAGACATTTTTTTTATAATCTGGAAGTAAATTCATAATTAATAGCCACAGCTGATAAATAAGACTCAGGATAATCTATATATATTCATATGTGGTCACCATCTACTTGAAACTACGCCCAACACTTAATTGGATAGTATATATTTTCACTGAATTCTGAAGTGACTTCATTACCATTWTCTTTTTTTACTTCAATTAAAAGTTTTACACCTCCAAATATACACCCTTTACTAGAGCAATTACTTAAAAAATATCCTCGATAAATTCTCTATTAGTTGTGGTGTAGTATGAAAGTATATATGTATGTWAAGTCAAAGTTAAGTCTCTTTGGAGAATTATCCAACAATATAACCTTTACAAACACCAACACGAACGTACTTTTTCGTAATTTACAATTTTTCSTTATTTTAAATCAGAGTCCAGTAATTGCCTTCCTTAAATCAGATTCCGTTAAATGCAACCTCATGTTGCAGAAAATTCTGCAACGCACTGCAACTGCTTAAATATGCTACAACAGCTATATGCACAATGCACTCACACTTCCATATCAACACATGCGCCGCCACACACCTRCTCAGTAGCAGCGCAGTGGCAGCGCAGCACCAGCGCATTAAGCAGCGCTGCGATCTGCAGTGAAAATGGCAACTTTCGCAGTTTGAACGTTGAAATGGAGAAATATATTTGGCTTTTATCTCGCGACATATTTACACCTGACAAGCTGTAACCGCAAGCGGCCGGCTGCGTATGCAGTGGGCCTTACGTGCATAAATTGCATTAAAAAGTTTCGCGTGCAACGTGCCTTGGCCTGCGGCAGAGAGACAGTCAAATAACGTCAATTTTTAATTGTGACAACATTTCCGGTGATGAGCCTGATGGGAGGGAAATGATGCGGCATCAGATGTCAGTCAATACATGCATTTAACGGTTGAGTGTAAATGTGTTGGTTATTGTGTCGGAGGAAGCAAGTTTAAGTGCATACGCCGTCTTTTTTCCTTTTGGTTCTTATATAACATCTTATATATACCTATTTAAGTATGTAGCACTTGGTGAGCACTGCCTCAGCTTTAAATTTATTCAGCCACACTGAAAGGTTAATGAYGCCGTGTCACCAGTTCGCCTCAATATTTACATCAATTAATACACACGCATTCATCGATATGTGTCTACAGTCGTGCATTTTTCGTGTCTATATAAGTATTGTTCGATTGTAGCAAATATGTGTGGATTTTGTTGCACTTTTTGGTATRAAAATGGTTTCTTAAAGGTAGCGAAAATTTGTAAACTTTTAAAAAAATTTTTATAAAATAGTAATAATCCAGGATTTGCGTATATTTTTAAGTTTTTATGAGAARTTGTGACTCATTATCATTTTAAGTAATTACTTTTTTTGATAGACGTCTAATCGAAATTTTCCTCTTAGTTCTGACCTATGAATTGGTGTTACTGACAAAATAGAAGAACGATACACTATTACTAATAAACTTATTAAAAATTATTTAAGGTATAATCTTCAAAGTTGTTAAAATCAGGCATCAAACCCTAAATCTGTGTGGGCGTAGTGTATTATCTCCGAACACTGCAGTCTTCTCAATATTATTTGCAAGTTGTATCTACAGTGAAATCATTATCCCGCTACAGTTTCAGCACACTGCTTCGCACATTGACCACTTTGCTGTTAGCAAAAATAAAAAACATAATCCAATAATTGGTGATAACTCTGTTCCATGACTTTGGGTATTCTACATAAAAAACGTAATGTGTCTCAAAGAAGGCCAATTCAAAGTGAAGAAGGAAAACAAAGTTCGTAAAAGAAAATACTGCAAACATTGGATTGAAATTTGTATTGATTTTACATACATTACGCTTGGTGTTATATTTATAAATAACTGATTGATTTGGGTCAAGAATCAAAGTGTTTAATATTATTCGTTTTGAAATGAGTAATTTTTTTGTATTCGATTCACCAAAATGAAAGGAATACACAAGAAATACGAAACCTATCAGGGATTTCTTCTGATGAACTGGATTTGAAGACGTGCTTTTATTGAGAAGTATTGCTTTGAAAACCAAAGAAATGGAAAATCTTATTAACTGCTTGATAAATATACTCAAAAGCCTTTTGGATATTGACAACGTCGTACGACTTTTGAAGCTCAAAGGTGAACTTGATCACTGGCAGTGCAATTGGGGGCAGCAGCAAAAGTAAAAAACAACGTTGAAGAACTGCGATKTAGACCTAYATCCYATAATTCTTAGCTTTATTCGCATCTTCTGTACTCTTCCTGGTTCAAACGCGGCGAAGTGTCGAAAAAGAGCGTTCAGATCTTTTTTGATATTTCGCCAAATGATAACGTGGCTGAGGGCGAACATGCTTCAAGGTAGATTGAACGGCCTGGCCTTGCGGCACACGCATCATAACGTGAAGTCAATGCAGAAGAAGTGCTCGAAGGATTCTCAAAACTTGGCCGACATCGTTCGGGTTTGTGACAAAWTTCTATTAAATACTGACTACAGTACTATACATTCCAATAAAGTATGTCATCCACACGTCWATGATTTACTTATAATGTATTTTATTCAATTTAATCAAATTTTGCAGAGATTATTGACCACGACAAAAAATATTTTCCGAAAAAATTGTTCAGTTTGGATCACTATAACATATAGCAGCCAAACAAACATACAAATAAAACTAAAGATAAAAGTCTTTAATACCACTTTAAGTCATTAGAAAAACACTTGTGAGGCTTTGGTCCGGTTGAAGCTAATATTATTTCTCGTTTGTTTTTAGAATCGTCAGATCAACTCTTTCCCTAAACAGAAAATTACTCAATCTCTCAACTTCAGTCAAATGTCAAATATGGATTTTATGCGCATCATATAGTATATTTAAAAATGAACAGATTTTCTTCCAAAGTTTAACATAACATTGTCATTGTTAATAAATGAGCACTTCAACTACTAAAGTTTCTTTGCCAAGTTAAATAATAACAGTAAATTAAAGTTCTCATCTAATGCCACTTACTAATTAAATGTTCTCTCTTCCTTTCTATCATACACGCACGCACACACGCGTGCGTTGCATTGCCGATTGCTGCTGGGCTGACTGTGCTGATGAACTATGCGCCTAAATTTAACTCGTACGCTGCTCAATGATTTACAATTTGTCCATATGCAACAACAACAATAAAACAATAATACGAAATCAATATATTACAACAATGCTCCGGCGATTGTTGTGCCCATTGCCGCTGCTGCTACAACAACTACATTTGCTGCTAACGAAAACAACTGTGAATGCAGCCAAACTGGACGGCGTGAAAACGTACATGCGCATGCGCCGTGTGCCCAATCATCTGCAGGTGAAAGTCATTAAATGGTTCGATTACCTGTGGCTGACCCAAAAATGTTCCGACGAGGAGCGAGCTGTATCCTGTCTTCCTGATAAATTAAAGGTAAATACACACCCAAACACAAACACCTCAACACTTCCCCATATACACATTCATGTATGCATATGCGTGCATTTGAGCCGAGCATAAGCGTTTATATGCAAGCAACTGCTAGAATGGCACATAAACAGCAACGAAATTGCATCGCAGCCACTTCAGCGCTCCATCCACCAATGTGGAGCTGATGTCATTACATTGCTGGCGGAAATATTTTCACCAATGTGTATGACCAACTAGTTGGCAAAAGCATTCAACGCACTTAAGCACACGCACCTACATACACACGAACACTCACTTATTTYAGGCATTTCAGTGTAGCATTGGCTCAGACACGGCTGTCGGTTATTGGGCATCGGAAATTTTGCAATTGGCAATTTTCGAATTTTTGTTTGATGCCCTATCTGCCTGCCGGTGACTCAAATAGCCGCTTTACACACACACACACGCATCGACTTGCCAATGTAGGTAGCCTGCTTATGCTGGCGCTTAAACATTCGCACGCATTTGCAAACACATTGATGCTGCATTTCAGTTGATTTATGTGTGTTGGTAATTGTATTTCCGAAATTTCACTACACATTTCGCAACTCATTTGTGTTTTTTTTTTTTATTTTTTTTATTTTTTTTTCTGTTAAATTTCAAATATTTTTCTGTTGCTGTCTCTGCCTCTGGCCACTAACTTTCCACTGTATATTGCATACTTACAGGCTGAAATAGCAATTAACGTCCATTTAGATACACTTAAGCGAGTTGAAATTTTTCAAAATACCGAAGCGGGTTTCCTATGCGAATTGGTGCTACGTCTGCGGCCGGTACTCTTCTCACCCGGCGACTACATTTGCCGGAAGGGTAAGTGAATTCAAACACACACACATTTCTGTACAAACACAGAGAGTTTCAGTTTAGTAGTTCGGTATTCACATATGTGTCGTTAATTAGGTGTATTTGGAGCTTTAGTCGCAAAGCTTTAATTTCTTAATTGATAGTTAGCGCTCACACGAGCGGTTGTTGCCTATACTTTGAGCTCCAACTGACGATTTGAACGTGTTTGTGTGCCGTTTGTTAAATAATAAAATTACGCTGRTTTGGGATTTCTATTCTGGGTGCAGGGTTTTGAAACTTTTATATAAGAATTTGGTTTAACTAAGTTTTAAATTGCGAGCTTTAATGAAAAGTAATTATTTTTGAAGGTATTTGAGTAAATCT